TATCTATTACACAACTTTGCCAATTCAACTTTTTACAGGTGTACAACTTACTGAACAGCAATTATAATAATCGTCCGAGCAACTCTACCCTTAATTAATGATTTTTCCATCACTGTTAACCGCTCTTCCTCCTCTCTCCTACCTCTGATAATCTCTCATAAACTTTGGTCTTTGTACATTTGCCTTGTCCTGTCATACGTAAGTGAGGTCATACAATACTTGTCAGTTTTGTGATTGGCTTATTTCACTCAGCATAACGTCTTCAAGTTCCAGTCATACTGTAGTATGTATCAAGTCTTCATTTCTCCTACTGGCCGAATAGTATTCCATTGTATGTATGTGTCACATTTTGTTTATCCATTCATCTGTTGATGGGCATTTAAGTTGTTTCCACCTTTAGGATATAGTAAAGAGTGAAGCAATAACACTGATGTACCAGTCTTTTTTTGAGTCTCTGCTTTCAAGTCCTTTGGGTCTATACCTAGACCAGGTAACACACTTAGCTTCATTTCACACTTAGCTATTTTTAGTATTCTGAGGAACTCCCACATGATTTTCCACAACAGCTGCACCATTTTGCATTACTACCAGCAAGGGATAAGGGTTCTAATCTCTACACATCCTTACCAACATTGTTATTTTCAGTTTTATTTTTTATCTTGGCCATCCTAGTGGGGGTGAAATGATAGTTTTGATTTGCATCTCTCTGATGGCAAATGATGCTGAGTATCTTTTCATGTTTGGTGGTCACTGAATGTCTTCTTTAGAGAAATGTTATTCGAGTCCTTTGCCTATATTGTGATTAATTTGTCTTTTTGTTGCTAAGTCACCAAAGTTTTACATATATTTTGGTTATCAGATTCTTGTCAGATATATGGTCCTAAAGAGGCAAGGAAGCCACATCTTCTGACTTCCTCTAACTGCACAAGAGGAAGACAGAATCACCATCAGTAGTCCAAGGCCTATTCCTGTGAGGCCAGACATGCTGCTTCCCTCTAGCCCTTTTACCAACCCTGACACTAACCATTCCTCCCGCAGCATTCACCATCTTTCTACTGCGTTTGATAATTCACTGCAGTGGCCACACAGAACTCACAGATTATGGGGGTTTATTAGGAAGCACCAGGTTACAATTCAAGTTCAGGAAAAATGCTCAGTCTCTCTCCCAGCAGTGCATGTCCCTCGGTGTCTCTCTCAGCAAAGTGTGTCTCTTGCATCTCTTTCCCAGCAGCAAGTGTCTCTCAGACGTGCGTGTCTCTCAGGAGCCCGTTTCTTCTCAGCAGCACGTCCTTCTCAGCCAGCAATCAGACAGAGACTTCTGCCTCTAGGAGGCCTCCTTTTGAGCCTGGCAGAGTGGCCAAACTAGCCAATCATAACATCAGAATTCTAAGCACCTGAGAGACAGCAAACTTCCCAGAACATTGCTTTGTGCTACGCCCAACAGAAAAACCCCAGGTGGATAATTTTTATAATCAGGAGCTCCTCAGTTGCTCACAGCAAATTCTACCACTGAGTTTACAAAGACTTACGGTTAAAAAAGCCATACCAGGTAATTTACTACACCGCATATGGTTTCCTTAGATACTCTCCCAGTCAGTAGCTTGTCTTTTCACTTTTTCACCAGTCTTTCGATGAACAAAATTTTTAATTTTTATGAGGTCCATTTATTTACTTTTGTCTTCTGCTGTTTGTGCTTTTGTTAATGTATTAGATGACCCATTGTTGAAAGCTAGGCCAGCACTGCCTGTTTGTTCTTCTAAGAATTTTACGGTTTTAGTTTGTACATTTAAGTCCTTAATCTATTTTGAATGTGTTTTTATGTATGGTGTGAGGCAGGGATCCTGTTTCATTTTTCTGCATGTGGAAACCCGATTTTCCAAGCACCATTTATTAAAGAGACTCTTCTTTCCTCATCAAATGTACTTAGCAACCCTGTCAAAAGTCAGTTGATTATAGATGTGTGGTTTTTTTTTCCTGGACTCTCAATTTTATTCCATTGTTCTATTATGCCTATTGTTATACCAGAAGTAGGCTGTATTATACTATGGCTGTATAGTATTTTAAAATTAGGAATTGTCAGTTCATCTACTTTACTTTTCTCTTTCAACATTGCTTTACCTACTGTGGGGTCTCTTGTCATTCTACATAAAGTTGAGTATTGTTTTTCATATCTCTGTAAAAAAGGTTGATGGAATTTTGATCAAGATTGCATTGAATCTATAATCACTCTGACAGTATTGACATCTTAACAATATTAAGGTTTCCAATCCATGAACATGGAACATCTTTCCATATATTTAAGTCTTCTTTAATCTCTTCCAAAAGTGTTTTATAGTTTTCATTGTATAGGTCTTTCACATCCCTGGTTAGATTTATTCCTAGGTATTTTGTTCTCTTAGATTTATTCCTAGGTATTTTGTTCTCTTAGATGCTACTGTAAATAGAATTGTCTCTCTAATTTCCCTTTCAGATTTCTCACTGCTGGTGCATAGAAATACAAGTGATTTTTGTTTGTTGATCTTGCAACTCTACTAAATTCCTCTATTAGCTTTAGAATTTTTCCTGGGAATTCTCTGGGATTTATAATATTTTTTTCTTTATTGAGCACACAGCTTTTCAGTCCCAGAAAATTTTCAATACATTAACATATTTACCATGCATTTTTCAAGGTAAGGATTATTTTAACCACTCTTCTCTCCTGCATACCCTGTAGAACTTTAGAATGTCAATATTACTACATTTACAGAGAATAGAGAGAAATTTAACATTAGTCATTTGAATTTCTATAGAAATCCAGACCATGTTTATAAATATTTGGATCTATAGACATATGATGATAAAATACTATGAACTCTAAGGTGCAACTGTTGCTCTCTCCCCATCCGGAGCAAAGAAGAGTGCAGAAAATCAAAAACACAAGGAAACAATTAGTAAAGGACTAACGGACCACAGGGAATACCAGCCTCTAGACCATGAGACCAGAAGAACTAGATGGTGCCCAGCTCCCACTGCTGACCGCTCTGAAAGGGATCATAGTAGAAGGTCCTGGACAAAATGAGAGGAAAAAAAGTAGAACAAAACTCAAAATCATGAAAAAAAAAAAAAAGACCAGCCTCATTGGTCTTATAGACGATTGGTGCAAACTCCAAGACATCCTTCAAACCTAGAACTGAACTCACTCCTATAGCTCAACTTTCAGGCAAACAATAGACAGGTGTGTAAGGGGGAGCAGTGACACCAAGCAGGTATGCACCCCTTAGAACAATTAACTATATGAAATCAAAAGAGCAGAATTTGCCCAGAGATAAAACTCAGAAGACAAGAAGGGATAGGAAAGAAGGACAAATAGAAATGGTAAATACAGGGAGGAAGTAGGAAGGGTGCTGTTATGTAATGGGAATTGCAATCAATCTCACAAAACAAAATGTGTATGAATTGTTGAATGGAAAACCAATTTGCTCTGTAAACTCTCACCCAAATCAAAAGTTATACACTAAAAAAATAAGTAAGTAAAAGCTATGAACTAAGAGCAATGATCCATTCAACTTTCTGCATCTGAGGTCCTCCCCACCTGAAAATTTTTAAAAATCTGGGCCTACAATACCAAACTCTTTTAAGGTTTTTCCCAGAACTTGGTGCCACTATGAAACATATACTTGGTCAAATTAAAATGTAACAACACTCAGTTACAATTTAGAAACCACCATCACATACAAAAAAGAAAGATGATTACTTATTTTTCTTCTCCAGCCAGAAACTGACTTATCTCAAGTATTCATGAAAACACAAATCAAACAGTGAAAACTAGTTAGAGAACAAAAGAGAAAAGAAAAAGTTTTAAATCTAAAGTCAAAGATGTGTAGAGGAAATGAAGAATGGGGCTACAGGCTACACACAGGTGGACTATTGAACAGTGAGTGCTCCTTTTCTAACATAAATACAAGCACCTGCAGGAGGTGATAACTTAAAAGTCCTTACACCACAAAAGTGTTCATGACTCCAAAATTAAAACATTACATATCAAAAACTGACACTTCATTTTCCAAAAATAATTCAGGATACTGAAGGTACCACCTCATGTGTGTGCAGCGTGTGTTGGCTAATAAAACAAAATCAGACTAGGTCTTTACAGAAGTGACGTGAAAACTTTGCAAAATAAAATAGTTTCTTAAATGACAATGGATTTTTTCAACTGGCAAATAAACGTTCACCTCTCTTACTGGTCTGAGTATAAGAACTACCGGCAGTTATCAGCTGAAAAATGACAGAAGGCAGATTTCTCTAAGGGTTAAGTAAAAGTCTGAAAGCTTTGTTCTAATAACTGCGTAACTGCTGTCAACAGTGAATGTTCTTTTTTTCGATTTTTCATGTCTTTTAAAAGATTTTGACAAGTCTTAGAGTTATGTCTACAAGACAGAGCTCTACTGTAAAATGATTACTAATTCAAAGGTCTTCAGATTTTCCTACTGTTTCTCGTGCTTAAAAAATAAAAAAGGAGGAAAGGACACCCTAAAAGAGGAAAAAACAAACAGCACACACACACCTCACAAACAGTTCCTTCAGCTTTGTGATCAGATTTTAGAGCCTTCCTTACTATCCCTGATCAAGCGTTGGGAAAGGGCACTCTCTGGTCGCTTCAGATCCAGCCAGGGCAGAGCTAGAAGCGAGAGTCGGGTTCTTCATTCATAGCCATCCTCCGGCCGGGTACCAGCCCGCAGAGTACCCCTCATCTTCTCCCGTTCCTTGCACTGGGGCGTGCGCTTGCTCCTCGTTCGACCCCAGGCAGTCAGTGCTCCAGAGCTTGGAACATAAGAGGAGGGCACCCAGGCTCCACCCGCCAACAGGTCCCTGGAGGACGACCCTTGTCCTGTAGCCCAGTTCCAAAAGAAAAGGAGCTACAGAAAACCGCCATAACCGCCAAACACCCATCGCCACTGCGGAAGCCAGCCCTGCGTCGGCCGGGGGGTTCCATCGCGCTCCAACCAGCTATTTACACCCACCTGCCTCCCCCGGCGGCCCCCGCACCAGCTCCAGCTGCCCCGCCGCCGCCAGATCCAGCCCCTGGCCGCAGCGCCATCTTGCTTGGGGCCTGCCGCCACCTTCTAAGCAGCTGTCAGCTGAAGACAGCCACTTCCGGGGCAAACGCCAGGCCCCACCTCACCAAGGACCGGGGGACGGGGCGGGGCCATGCGCCCACGTGTCTTTTAACCCTGGGCGGGGAGGAGCGACACACTCTTGTCACGTGACTCAGCCACGTTTGGGTCACTCCTAATGCCGTTCTTGCTCCGGGGCTGGTGAAGTGGTCGCGGGCGCAGCTCCGAAGGCGCTGATGCATTCTTTGCCAAGGCCCTCTGGTGGGCTTAGCTGGCGGCGGAGCGACAAGGCACTATTCTCCCTCAGTTTGAAAACGAGATCTAGGTTAGTGGAAGGAGCTTTGAGTCCCATTTCTTAAGCTGGATGGTGGATATACAGGTGTTTTTATTATTTCGTTAATATAGGGGGCCTGGATGCCCCTTGGATAGCTTCACCATGTTAGTCAGTTCAATGCACTTTGCCTGTTAACTCATCAGCTTCCTTTTGGTACTCATCCCAGGAGCTGACGGATGGTATCTAAAATTAAATAAGCCCAATTCACATATAAAATCTTCAAGGTGCGCTAATCTTGTTTGGTCCTGCCATCCTGTTTTTCCCCATACTTGCAGGCAGGGTCAGAAGTGTTTTGAAAGCAGTTACTGCGTAATTATTGACCATCTCTGGTCTTCCTTTTACTGATTTCCAACCCCACCCCCCAATCAAAACTAGTCTGTAAATACAGAAGCGGAGAGTAAACTTTTCCAAGCCCTCAAGCAGTTTGCTTGCTTGTATTTGATTAATTATAATTAGCTTTAGCTTTATCTACTTTGGCTTTTTCCTCAGGACTTTTATTGAGAAGCAATTTGTAATAATAATAGCTACTATTTATTGGGCACAAATTACTGGTCAGGAACTTTATATGCGTTTTAGAAAATCCTCAGTGTTCCTAAGAGTTAATACTGGCATTTTACAGATGAGTAGGAAAACAAGGGCTAATTCACACAGGTCAAAAACTGCAGGCAGCACGAGTGGGATTCAGAAATTGAGGTCCGTTTGACTCGAGTCCTTTCACATTTTGCAAGAGTTAGTGTTTTGTTAGAATTGTCTATTCACTAATTTCACTTCTCTTTTTGTTGTTGTTGTTGTTAAGTGCCATCGAGTCGTTTCCGACTCATAGCAACCCCATGCACAGCAGAACACAACACTGCCCGATCCCGCACCAGCCCCACAATCCCTGCTATACTTGAGCCCATCATCGCAGCCACCGTGTCAACCCATGTCGTTGAAGGCATCCCCCTCTTTCATCCACTCTCCACCCTACCAAGCATGACATCCTTCTCCAGGGAATGGTCCCTTCTGACATGACCAAAATAGGTGAGACGAAGTCTGGCCATTCTTGCTTCCAAGGAGCATTCTGGCTGCACTTCCTCCAGGACAGATCTGTTAGTTCTTTTAGCAGTCCATGGTACTTTCAGCATTCTTCGCCAGCACCACAACTCAAAAGCATCAACTCTTCTTCGGTTTCCTTATTCATTGTCCAGCTCTCACATGCATACGAGGCGACTGGAAATACCATGGCTTGTGTCAGGCGCACCCTAGTCCTCAAAGAGATATCCTTGCTCCTCAGCACTTGAAACAGTTCCTTCGCAGTTGAATTTCCCAATGCTACACGTCGTCTAATGTCCTGACTGCTGCTTCCGTTGGCGATTGTAGAACCAAGCAACGTGAATTCTTTGACAACCTCAATCTTCTCTCCATTTATTGTGATGCTGCTCATTGGTCCAGTTGTGAGGATTTTTGTTTTCTTTATATTGAGACCTAATCCATACTGCAGACTGTATTCTTCAACCTTCATCAGTAGGTGCCTTAAGTCATCCTCACTTTCAGCAAGTAAATTGTATTGTCTGCATCTCAGGTTGTTAATGATTCTTCCTCTAATCCTGATACCACATTTTTCTTCATATAGTCCAGCTTCTCAGTTTATTTGCTCAGCATATAGATTGTATAAGTGTGGAAAAAGGATACAACCCTGACACACTCCCTTCTTGATTTTAAACCATGTAGTGTCCCCTTGTTCTGTTCGAACGACAGCCTCCTTTTCAAGGTACAGATTCCTCATGAGTACAATCAAGTGCTCGGGAATTCCCATTCTTCTCAATGTTATCCATAATTTGTCATGATCCACACAATCAAATGCCTTTGCATAGTCAATAAAACACAAGTAAACATCTTTCTGGTATTCTTTGCCTTGAGCCAAGATCCATCTGACAACAGCTATGATATTCCTTGTTCCACGTCATCTTCTGAATCCAGCTTGCACCTCTGGAAGTTCTCTGTCAATATACTGCTATAATTTATTTCACTTCTCTTTTTAGGTAAAACTGAAATTTGTGTGGGAGATTTTTCCAGTTAATCTAAAGCAGCTAAATTCAGTATTAATCCGTCGACAAACCAATTTGGTGCAGATACATGTAGACATTTTATTTATGGATAGGTGGTTACATAGGAAAAAATAGTCAAAGGAAGGGAGTATGGATGTATCAAGGGTCAAAGTAGCTGTGATGCTTCTACCTGGAATGCTGTTGTCCTTTAACTGATGACTCCTACAAGATTCAGCTCAGACCTCTGGGAAGCCTTCCAGGACACCCCAATCTGGGTTTGATGCCCTCCTTTGATGTTCCACCATCCCTAGCCTTACCTCTAACAGCATTTATCACACTATCTGTTCCTTTACTTATCTCCACCACTACATTGTAAAGGCAGGGACTGCCTTAGCAAGCCTTATATTCCTAACAAAAATGAACATTTTTGTTAAATGAGTATTTGTTGTGAGTTTGTATGTCAGGCATAGAAGTAGGTACTACCAATCTAAAGACATAATTGGTATTTCCCCCCACTTTTCAGATTGAAAAATGGAAACACTGAGAAATTAAGAAAGTAATCCAAAGTCACACATCTGACAATTGTACACCTGTACTGGCAACAGTACACCTGCCTTCTAGAAATATTCTTTGCACTCTGAAACAATAGATCTCCATTTAAATACATTCTGAAGATGAACAATTTTTGTCCCATCTAAAATATTCATGTCAGAGTTTAACCATCAAGAGGCTGGGAATAAAAGAAATTAAGTTTAATTCAAATACTGCTAAAAAAAAAAAAAAAAAACTTACTTATTTTAGTAGTACTGATCATAGCTAAACATTCATGTGTCGAGCACTTTTCTAAGTATTTTACATGTACGATGTCAATGCTTTTATTCCCCTGTACAAAACTAGCAACAGAGAAAGATCTTCTAATAGCAATGAGTATTTTCCATCATTGTCTAATCATCCCTTCCCTCTGGCAGAGAGCTGTTTACTAAATGAAGGGCCATGAAGCCTCAGGAAAGAGAAGGCTGAGAGAATGAAGTCAGAGGTCTATCAGGTGACAGGCACATTCTTCTTTATCAAGATTAAAGTGCTTATAATTTCCTAGCAAGGAAAGAGCTTAGTTAAACTATGGAAAATGAAGTAAGAAAAGGAGAGGCTGACCATAATCTTGTAGCTGCAACATTAGACCAGGTAAGGAATGAGCTTCCTTACCAATGAGGTGTAAGATTTTTTAATTGACCAAAGAATGAAAAATCCTAGGGAACCTGAATAAGCCATAGATGAGGAATCTCTTTGTTGTGGCTCACACCACAAAAGGTCATCACAAATTAAGAAACAGTAAAACAGAGAGCAGTAGGTTTGCTCTTAGTAGACTATGTTGCTTCTTATCCAATCCAAAAAAGAGGGCGAGGGATTCATGACTTTGAAATTCTGTTCCAGATGCCTCTCCACAGCATACATCACACCTTCTTTCATACTTTAGGGAAAAGTCCTTAAGAATTCACCACATTTGGGTGTTATTTAATAAGCTTTTGGTCTTCTATAAGAAGTATCTCTTTGGATTCAAACCACAGAAAAAGTCAATAACTGTTATTTCCATGGTAAACCAAAACCAAACTCACTGCTGTCGAGTTGAATCTGACTCATAGCGACCCTTCCCTGGGTTTCCAAGGCAGTATCTCTATGGAAGTAGACTGCCTAGTCTTCCTTCGGAGGAGTTGCTGGTGGGTTTGAACCACCACCTTCTGGCTAGAAGTGCACTATGCCACCAGAGCTCCCAGTCATTAAAACATCATCATGAAATCTGACATGATACACTGTAGAATCATAAATCATTTTCACCACTCCATGTACTTGTAGTTGCTTTCAAATGTTTGATAAAGTGATTTTATGACTTGGAAGTATTCTGTAACAACAACATTCACATTGGGGCCAAAAAAAAATGGTATTTCTAGGATAGTCTCTTTAAATTCTGTCCTCAAGAGCTACTTTCTTCTTGTTGTTCTGACCAGTGACCTTTTTCCTGTAAAACAAGAATGTAGGGAAAGTTGAATCAGAAATTTCATATATAAGTACGTGCCAAAACTGTGTAAGTGTAATAACCATTCACTGATACCTATTGTGTATCAAGCATATGAGACACTAGGAACACAAAGACTTGGTCTCTGACTTTAAGAAATTCGCAACCACAACAAACCACACTATTACATGGTATGAAAGATTCTGATCTGATCCTGACCTAGTAATAAGAGTTAACATTTATTGAGTGCTTATTAAGTGCTCCATACTGTTACAAGTGTTTTATATACATTAACTTGCATAATCTTCCTAACAACTTATTATCCTAATTATTACAGATGATGAAAATGAGTCGTTGAGTAATTTGCTGATCATCACACACTGGTTTAAATGTTAGACATGAAGCCCAACAGTCTGGTCATATGGAAGGCAAATAACTGAAATGTGATTCAGCACTTTGTGAATGGTGAATGCCATTAACTAAATAGTAACACACGAAAAGGAAAAACAGTTTTAAGAAAACACTCAGTTTGCATATTACATTATGGTAATACAAAGTCCTTTTATGTATATTAACTCCTTTAATCCTCCATCCAACCCTGAGTGGCAGAGCTGATATTATTTCCATTATATATAGGGGAAAGGGCCTTCGAGAGATTAAGTGACTTGCCCAGAATCAC